GGGGAGGGTGTGGAAACAGGGATTCTGTGTCTTTGTGTCATAACTGATGGAGGAGGTGAGGGAGACAGCCCCAGCCCTTTTCTCCAAACCCCCTTGCCAGGTTCCAGTTTCCCTTCCCTCCACCTCCTCCCCCCACATCTGTCCCACCTATATTTGTCTCTCTGTCTACCCACTCCTGGGGGGGCCTTCCCCAGCTCTCCTCCAGGCCCCCCCAGGGAGAGGGAAAGGAGTTTAGGGGGGTGCGTTGGTCTCTATGCTTTTATATATAATATATTAAAAAAATCAAAAATCTGTATGAAAATATCAGATTATGCCCTCTTCCCCCATTCCTGGCTTTTGCCCCTTTTTCTTGTTTTAAAAAAAAACAACACACACCATTTTGTACGGGGCAGGGAGGGGAATGGGGAGGGGGTTTGGCAATCCCACTAACCACCATTAAACAGAGGAGAGAACATGTTTGGGGTGGTTGTGTGTCTGTCCTTCTGCCCAGAGCTGCACCATGCTGGGAGGGGAACTGAGGGAGGCTGTGTGTCTGTCCTTCTGCCCAGAGCTGCACCATGCTGGGAGGGGAACTGAGGGAGGCGGGAGATGCTGGTGAAGCATACAAGCCAAGAGAAGGCACCTTGACCCTCCTAGAGAGGGAAATGTGTTTTGTTTTTTTCCTTCAGCCAAATAGTCTTACCTCTTTGGTAACTACTGAGCTACCTACTCTACCCTTACCCCATGGCCTGGACCCTTCCCTTGGCTTACCCCAACCCCAGACATCAGTCTCCAGGACAGCTTTCAATTAGTCACATCTCACCCTGATCCTACCTTTTTCAAAACCTTACCCTGTCTCCCTGTCATCTCTAGATGAAGTCAAAGCTCCTTAGCCTGGTATTCCAGGCCCTTCATTCGTTTCTCTAAATTTTAAATGATTCTAATTTTAGATTTAAAAATATATTGTCCTCTTTGTGCCAGGTGCTGCTCAAAGGTCTAGAGGTGCTACGGTAAATAAAAAAGGCAAATATTTGGTGTTCTAGACAGCTTAGCACTAATCTGAAGAGTAATACTGTTCTAAGTACTGAGGCCCCAAAGTGAATAAGGTGACTCCATGTTTTACCCTCATGTAGCTTTCACAAGGAAAAATAATTTAATTTCAGGTTGCCATTAAGATAAAATGCAGAGGAAGGGGAAGTGGAATACTATTTTATTTTAACTTATTATGGAAAACCTCAAACACATAAGTAGGCAGAACAGGACAATGAAGTCCATGCATCCTTCACCCCAGCTTCAAAAACCATAAATTCACGACCAATCCTGCTTTATCCACAACCCTACTTGCTTCTCTAAAGCAAATCTGGAGGTGCTATTTTAGAAAACAAATAAGTAAACCAACAAACAGGGAATGCCTCTCAGATTGACATCTGTGCCAAGATATAAATGGTTAGCACAAGAGCAGCCATTTGAAGATCGGAGGGAAAAGCATTTTCAGGCAAAGGGAACAGCAAGGGCTAAGACCTGAGAGGACAGAGACAGGGGTTTTGGATGTGAAGTGGATCTAGTCAGGAATGGATGGTGAGGTCAGAGATAAACCGGACCAAGCCATGTGTATACCTCGTAGACCATGATAAAGACTTTGGATTTTTTTCTAAGCATAATGGGTTCCCATTGGAGAGCTTTAAGCTAGAATGTGTTACTTCCAGGAAGTCTGGACTCCTGCAATATCTTCAGCATAAAGTCTGAACTCTTAACATCACCTGTAGAAGCCTTTCCCCTCTCTAATTCTGGGTTCCAGGCATATAATCTACTTTCACTTCCTCAATCAAATCATGTACTACTTTTTTCTTCTTCCCCTAGGCCTTTGCCCTTAACTGGTCCCGCTGCCAGAGTGACTCCCATTCCAGTTGGCTTCTATTAATCCTTGGCTTAAAGAGCATCACCTGGAAGCCTTTTCAGGCTGGGCAGGCACCTCCTATCGCTCCCCCACAGCTTCCTATGCTCCACTTATTCCAAGTGTGACCACTCCAGGTTGTGATTCTGTGTGGACCTCCTTCCTTTGGTTGGGGCATCATGTGGATAGGGGCCGGGTATGTCTTGTTCACTGCGGAAACCATAGTGCCTGCTAGCACAGGGCCTGACACATAGAAGAGCAGTAAGTATTTATCCTGGTTGTGGGGAGGATTGTGAGGGTTGGTAAGGGTCCTGGCCCTTGAGCCGCCGCTCAGGAAGATGCAAACCCATCCCACCAAGTCAAGGCTGCCTGCTTCTCGCTAGTCTGCAGTCCCTATGCGCACGCGCCTTGCTCAGGCTCGACCCCCACCTCCGCCTCACGTATGCTAATTACTGCGCTCCTTTCTACGGCCTCTCTGGGGAATATGCAAATCATCCCTTTTGGTGCCCGAGGCCTCCCATTGTCCCGAGCTAAGATTATGCAAATAGCGGGCCTCCGGTCCAGGATCCCAGCTGAGCTGGAGTCCCCCACCCCCAGCGCATCTCCTCTATAAAGCGCGTCCCCGCTCCGCACACGCACGCGCGAGCCTGAAGTTTCTAGTTCAGTCCGGCTGCGGACCGTACCAAGTAAACTCGGACAGCGAGGGGCAAAGCCCGGAACCCCCTGCGCGGGCGTCGACGACGGCCCGACTCGGATAGCCCCTCTTCGCGCTGTGCGCCTGGAATGGTCCATCTCGGCGCGCAAGCGCCCTAGGCTCTGCTCGCCCCTCGCGCTCCTTCCTCCCCTACTTGCAGCGCAG